TAAAGGTTACGTTTAAGATATCTTAGGAAATCTTTATTTTATGTATCGAAGTGCACAAAGGAAATAATTCAGGATTGTAAATCATACGATTTAATGGAGTGAATAATAACAACAGCTTGAATATTTCAAAGAAAGTCATTTATGTAAATGAGTATGATTAAATATTAGGTAACTGTGCTTGAAAAAAATTCTCTTCCAAACAAATAATTACTTGTCCTATACTCACCAACACAATTCAGGTTAGTCTGATTCTACCTTCTTCTCTTTTTATTCCTCAGATGGAAAACAAGCAGCTTTGGATGTATTTCCACTGCAAAGTCTCTGCCCATACTATGTTTTGTTGATTTTCTTTCTGTCCATATCCAATTTTTTTCATAGAATAAGTTATCACAAAGTGTTTTGCAATAAGACAATCTCCACTTAAAAGAAAGGATGATGATAGAGAGTGATGGTCTGGAACCAGTTCATAGAGACTGATATGACTTTCCAACTTTATCTTATGCAGAGATACCATTCTGGAAACTTTGAAATGTGTGTGGAATGCAAACTGGAACAAAACCATGTTGACTGGAAATGAAAGTCTGGGCTGTTCATTTTATCTAGCAAGTGGGTGCAGCATTGATCAGTGCAGGACTGAACCACTCGACATAATTAAGTCAATCATACAGTGATGAAAATAGCAAAACACGTAGCACTGGAGCCTACCATAAAGGTCCTCTTGAAAGACTCCATCCAACAGAGTATTGAAGCAGATGCTGAGACTCATAGCCAAACTTTGGGCAGAGTGCAGGGAGTCTTATGGAATAAGGGGGAAACAGAAGGACACAGATGGGACATGAGCTCCAGGAGGAGACCAACAAAGCTAAAATATCTGAGCCCAGAGGCCTTGCAGAGACTGATGCACCAAACAACCTTCATGCATAGAGAGGACCAAGATCCTCTGCTCAGATATAGCCCTTAGATAGCTCAGTCTCCATGTAGGTCCCCGAGTAAGGGGAGCAGAGGCTGCCTCTGCCATGAACTCTATTGTCTTCTCTTTGATCACTTGCCCCTGATGATGTGGTCTTGTCAGGCCGCAGAGGAAGAAGCTCTAGGCAGTCCTTATGACACTTAATAAGCTAAGGTCAAATGGCAGGGAGGGAGAACTCCCCTTTTCAGTGGACTAGGGGAAGAAGATAGAGGGGAAGAGGGAAGGAGGAAGGGTGGAATTAGGAGGAGGTAAACAAGGGGGTTACAATTGGGATATAAAATGAATAAATTCCAAATAAATATATTTGCATATATACATAATATGGATGTTGAATATGCAAAAATAATACAGAAGGTAAGAAGAGTGTGCAGCCTTGGTTTTCATATTTCTTTCTTTGTCTTCAAATCTGGGTAAAATATTTCAGATTATATTTCAATTAATCAAAAAAAATCTAGGTTTTAGAGCAGCCATGAGTAAATAACACATTTAAAATACATATGTAAAATCTGATGAAGGGAAAACAACAAATGTTAATACAAAAATATGAATTACAATTATTTAATTGTAAAGAAAGTCAAGACAGGAGGGAAGTGAGGGTTACCAAATTGACAAATGGTAAATGTACAATATGTAGAAAATAAATATTACAGTAATTAGAATAAGAAAAGCTAACCAGGGCTGAAGAGATAGCTCAGAGGATAAGAGCACGGACTGTTCTTCCAGAGTTCAAGTCCCGGCAACCACATGATGGCTCACAACCATCTATAATGAGACCTAATGCTTTTTTTCTGACATTCTGGTGTACATGCAGATAGAGCACTCATGTACATAAAATAAAAAAGGAAAGAAAAGCTAACCAAAAATTTTAGATCCATAATAAAAAATCAGAATGGAAGGTTGTGAGCAAAAGAAGTTTGCTCTCAAGGAGAGGTGCTATCAAAGTAAAAATGAAATATAAACTACAAGAGAATATTTAAACATTCAATCAAAAGAAGCCTTATTTTCTGTGTCACAGGAATTTCAAAGTCATACTGTGATTGCAAACAATTATTACTCAGAATAATTTGCTTAAATCACCAGTCTTTCATTAAATGATCACATTTCTATCTCTTTACAGGTATGTCTTGGGCTGGGAAGATGGCTCAGTAGATAGAGCATCTTTGGCACAAGACAGAGGACCTGAGGTAATATGTCCCACACTCATGTGATCATTCAAGCTGCATGATAGTCTTCTTTAAATCCCAGGTGTGGGGTACTGACACCCAATCTCAGACCAAGATGAGTAGTGAAATCAGCTGAGTTGTACAATCTGGTTTCAAGTGAGAGATCCATCATCAATTTATAAGCTGTAGTGACAATAAAGAACTCAACTGAGTTCTGTTGATGTCTCAGGCCTCTATACAACTCACAGGCACTCACAGGTATGCAAGCAAACACACACATCACATACACATACTGGTAAAACCAAATGGGTCTTTTTAAATCTGCTGGTGTTTTTGTTTGTTTGCTTTGAGAGAAGCCCTTCCTCTATAGAACAGGCTGTAAGATCACACCTTATTCCTCAGTCTTCTTACAGTTAGAATTACGGGTTTGTTACCCACACATGGTTCAAAGTCTCTTCATTTCATATTAAACGCTTAGTCAACAGAGAGCGATTCAATAACCCATGTAGTGAAAGTTAGATATATAATTGTATTTTTTTAGAGTTTTATCTCTTTTTTTATTTTTTAGTTATTATTATCATTTATTAAATTTGTTTCCTGGCTGTGGCCCTCCCTCATCTCCTCCCAATTTCACCCTCCCTCCCTCTTCTTCCCCTATGCCCCTCCCAGCGTCCACTGATAGTGGAAGTCTTCCTCTTCTTCTATCTGACCCTAGGATGTAGCCCATAGACTCAGTCTCCAAGCGGGTTCCCTAGTAAGGGAAGCAGGGACTTTTTCTGACATGAACTCAGTGGCAGCCTCTCTGATCACCTCCCCCGGTGGGGGAGGTGTAAAGCCTAGCCAGGGCACAGAGAAAGAAAATGCAACCAGTTCTGATGAAACTTGATATATAATTGTATTTTATTTTGATTAAAGGTGAAAGAAAAACACAGAAAATTTACTGGTGTGTGGTTACATGTCTTTAAAACTAAACTATTTTGCTAGCTGTAAGAAGAGAAATGGCCTTGAATTTTAAGAGTGTGGGATTTTCTTCCCAGGGAATTTAGCTAAAATAATTAATTTCTATATGTTGCTATTAATGAAGCTCACAGATTTTGTTGTCATGGTAGTTGTTTATTTGTTTGCTTGTTTATGCACATTACACAGGTTTAAAACTTTTCTTCTCCTTCAATGCAAGCGAGCCACTGTGTGCCCTTCAGGTAAAGCACAATGGGGCAGGCATACAGGCAGTCCAAGTCTGTGAGATGGACAGGAAAGAACAAAAAATAAATGTCATACCATAAAGTAGGTATTAAAATGTGATTTCAAACACATGATGTCAACATTCTTTAAGTTCATTTTGAAGGGCTTCATCAAGTATTTTGCAAATTTTGTGAGAAGAAGCCAGAAAATCAGAAATCTTAAAAACATGTTTAGTTGTTCTACATCGAACAACTAGGTTATAACTTTAGTGGCTATGAATTTGTCGTTATTACATCTTCCAAACTACCTTCTGTTCTTCTATGCAATGACAAATGAATATTGATTCACAAACCACTAATTGTATGGTGCCTTGCTTAATCATTTTCTATTTAAAATCTCAATGGTTTAGTTGAAATGATATTTAACAGTTTTTGTTTGAGACACATAACCAGTCCTAATATATTAGACTACTCCCAGTAACACTTCAAAACAAAATTCCAATTTTTATTAAAAAAAGAGAAATTCTTTCAAAACATATTTAATAAGGTTAATGTCATGACTAAGGTTAAATGTTTTTTTTTTTTTTGTGTTTAAGTAAATGAACACTTAGGCATTGATGGTTTGTAATATAAACTAAATTATTAAAGCTACAATAAAGAATACTTAACATTAAATATTAGATACCCCCAAAGATAAAACAATAAATTATCTGTAGTTTATAACAGAAGAAATATAAACATAAGCATCTATAGCTACACATAAGCCTGGGTACATCTGTGTTCAAGATACTATTATGTGTTCAATATACTAACATGGAATCAGTACAAATGGGAACGAGTCAGATAGTTCATATAATCATGGAAGTTCAAGGCAAACTTCCATCAGGAAACTAGGAGAATGTTAAGAAGAATCATGCTACTTGCAAAATCACATCTATTCCAATGTCAGAACAAGTGCCTAGAATATGCAAAAGGGGCTTGGCAAGCTTAATGATGAAAAGGGAAATAAGAAAGAAAGGCTTAAAATAAAATCTGACTATTTAGCACACACTATTAAGTTTGTGCACGCGTGTGCACGCACAAATACACACACACACACACACACCCCTTTCTCAATCCTTTTGAGTATAGATATGTAATTCTGATTTTGCAGAAAGCTATTGAATCTCTTGCTTCTGGTTCTAGTTATAGTTTCTTTTTTTTTTCCTTAAACCATCATCCGTGAACAGAATTAAAAAGGAAAAGAAAAAAACCAAAAACCTGTGGCGAAGCTTACGTCAGTGGCCCTGAAGCCGTGGCCGCTGACTGTGTATACATCTCTTTACCAGAGCCCCTACCCTATAATGTTGCTAGTCATTTTTAGGCAAATAACAAGACTTGTTAAAGCCGAGCTCCCAACAGCTGAGAATCAAGTTTTATTTTGTTTATAGTTATGTATTGGTGAGTAAACATCGCAGCTATGATTGTTTTCTAGGGCCAAAGGGATCGGGCAGGGCACGCTGACAGTTCTGGTGTTCAAATCCGAGGAGGGCCGCTGCAGGGGGCGGGAGCAGAACCCGTCTGTCCACCCAGGCTCCGTGTGCCGTTAGGCCCCCAGCTGCCCGCGTGGCGTCAGGGAGAGCCGCGGAGGCAGCGGCGCCTCGGTCGATGGCATCCTCCGCCGCAGAGGCGTCGAGACTCAGGGACATGCTTTCCGAGTGCAGCTCGCTTTTGAAGGGCGCGGTGCTGGGAAGCGTCGTGTGCGCCTTGATGGCGGCGCTGGGACACCTGGGGGCCGGCGGCCCCGCGCGGAGCCACCGCCACCGGCACCGCCGCCTGCAAGCCCCCCCCGGGGACGACGCCTGGCAAAGGCCAGGGGCCGGGCTCGCGGGCCCCGGGAGCGGCCCCCGCGTGTACTGCATCCTCCTCCTCACGCCCAGACACCTGCGTCTGCGGGCCGCCGCGAACGAGACCTGGGTCAAGCACTGTGACAAGGCAGAGTTCTTCAGCCCCGAACCCGTTCCAGCGGTTGAGTCGGTTACGCCGGGTGGGAAAGACTCGTGGCTGATGAAAAAGGCTTACGTCTACGCCTCTGATAACTACAAGGACCGGTACAGCTGGTTCTTTCTCGCGTACCCTTCCACGTTCGCGGTGATCGAGAACTTAAAGTACTTTCTGTTAGAAAGAGATTCATCACAACCTTTCTATCTGGGTCACACTGAACACTCCGGGAAGCTTGAATATGTGAGTGTGGAGGGAGGGGTTGTCCTCAGTGTAGAATCGGTGAAAAGACTCAGCCGCCTTTTCACTGACCCTGGAGGGTGTCCCGAAGAGGGAACAGTCGTTTGGAAGTTTCCTGAGGATGAGCTGCTGGCCGTCTGTCTGAAACACGAGGGAGTGTTTGCGGAAAACGCTGAAGATGCCGAAGGAAAAAGCTTATTTAACACGAAAACGGTTGGGATGCTTATTAAAGAGGCAATGGCTGCCGCCCCGAGCAAGGTGGTGGAAGGGTGCTGCTCTGATGTGGCCATCACGTTCGGCGGACTAACCCCTCATCAGCTGCATGTGCTGATGTACGGCGTGTACCGTCTCAGGCCATTCGGACGTATTTTCAGCGATGCACTGTCCTTTTCACCTCCAAATGGTTCTGACAATGACTGAAGAAAAATGAAAAAGTAAAAGCCTGTATTCGATAACCAAAGAAGCCGTGTTAGCTGCAATAATTATTTAACCAACATAATAGCATGTGTCTTTTCTGGTCCAGGCATATTGTGTCTGAAGTGAAGTTTATTTCACATCCTTCAATAGGCTGTTATTTTGTCTCAAAATACTAGTAAAATTTTTACCTCTGTTATAGAAAAATGCTTTAATATCAACAATAGTGTAAATAAATGATGCATTTATAAGTATAATTGCTTTACACAAACTAAATTATAAATATTAAAATCTGTGGTATGCTTTCACGTATGCACTTTTGTAACTTTTAAGTTTCTAACATATGTAAATGAAATTTCATTTAATGAAATACTTTTTGTTAAAAACAAATCAAAACATAAGCCTAAACAATTCAAAACTTCACTGAGAACCTCACAGTTTACTGAACATTTCACTTATTAAATGACAGATTTAACAAACCTCCATATAATTTATGTATTTTTTTTAAATGACAGGACTTCTTTGTGCCTTACTTGAACATGAAATTAGGCAGTAACTGTGGATTGTTTCAAACAAACACTACATAATCACATTGTGCAGATTATATGCAAATTTTCACCTAAAGTATGGATGAAAAAAAATGTTAAAAAACATAAAAAAGTGCGATGATGTCTGGGTATGTGGAACTGCTGCATCTGTGGCCTGAGTTATCAACGAAGGCCAAGCAGATGTCTGTGCCCCATGGGGAAACCTGAGGGTCATGCTGCTGAAATGGGACATGCTGATCTGACTGTCCTGTGCTGCCACCAGGGGCCATGGGGGCGTACAGACCCAGACTGCTGCTGGGGGCTATGTCTGAGTCTGTGGTCCTGTTAGAGCCGGAGTCTGTGTTAATGTCCCAGGCCTGTGTTACTGTGAAACCCATGTGGATGTCCGTGGTCTGGACTTCAGACCGAAGCACTGTGCTGAGCTGGCCCGATCACTCTCCTGGGCAGCCCAGTAGAACTGACTCTCATAGAGGGTGAGTGAGTGAGTGAGTGAATTGGCCAGCAGGCATGGGCGTGGGAGCCCCTTCGTTTGTCTGTCTTGCTGTGGTGTGGTCCAGGTGGAGTGCATCTCCTATCCCGCTATCTATGGCACGTGGGTGAATTGACCCTGGGGTCTTGAGAGTGGAAGAACTGGTCTTGTCCGTCACTGGTTGCAGCACTCAGGAAAGCAGGCCTGCATCTTGTAACTCACTAAAGCTGGCCCTGGTTGCAAGGGTTATGGTTGAGGTGGCTCAGCCCCTTACTGGCCACAACAGTGGGCAAGCTAGCAGGGCAGTGCTGGAGAGCTCGCCCAGGTGGACCAGGCATGGGTGAGCTGGCAGGCTGATAAACCCAGCTACTTCCCAGGCCCAGGTCCAGGGCTTTGAGTTGACCTACCCAACATCTACATGATCTGTAATCTGGTGGAGAGCATGAAGGGCCAGTCCTGCAGATCCTAAGCTGCAGGATCTCCATGACACAGGGCAACAACATGATATCTGAGAGGAGTGCTGGTAAGTATGCAGTTCAGATAGTGTAAGAGAAGCCAAAATGCCTCCAAGCAGACCAATGATTCATTGCAATGGATACTCTCCAGTAAACGTGTGGACACTGTGACACACTACAGTTTCCAGTCAAGATTTTATTTATCTATTTATTTATTTGATTGTTTGTATTTTTAATCACTTTACAACTTGATCATGGCCTCATCCTTTCTCCCAATTCCCACCCTCGCATCCCCTTACCCCTCCTGCTCTTCCCCTTCTCCTCAAAAGAGAAGTCCCTCCCCATGGTTACCAACACATCCTGGCTCATCAGGTCATAGCAGAACTAAGCGAATCTTCTCCCACTGAGGCCAGACAAAGCAGACCAGCCATGGGATAGGAATACAAAGGCAGGTACAGAGGCAGAGACAGCCCCCGCTCTAATTGTTAGGGAGCCCACATGAAGATCAAGCTGCACATCTGCTATTATGCATGGATAGGGTCCAGGTCCAGCCAATACATGCTCTTTGGTTAGTGGTTCTGTCTCTGTGAGCCACCATAGGCCCAGATTAGTTTACTCCATAGGTTTTCCTGTGCTGTCCTTGACCCCCTCCAACTCTCTCCTTCTCCCACTCTTCCACTAAACACGGAGCTCTGCCTCTTGTTTGTCTCTGGGTCTCTGCATCTGTCTATCAGCTTCTAGATGAAGCCTCTCAGAAGATAGTTATGCCAGGCTTCTGTCTGCAAGCACAGAAGAGTAGAATTAACAGTGTCAGGGGTTGGTTCTCTCCCATGGGGTGGGTCTCTATTTGCGGCAGTCACTAGTTGGCTATTCCCTCGATCTCTGCTCCATTTTCATCTCTACGCTTTTTGTAGGCAGGACAAATTTTAGGTTTAAGGTTTTGTTGGTGTGTTGGTATCCCCCTCCCTCCAGTGGAAAACTCACCTGGCTACCGGAGGTGGCAACTTCGGACACTATGTCCCAGGCAGCTAAGAGTCTCAGCTAGGCTTACCCCCATAGACCTCCCCATTCCGAAGATGACAAGACCCCCCACTGATTACAGCTCTCTCTACTGGTCCTCTTACCCCCTCCTGCCCGCTCCGCGACACCTGATCCCCACTCCCATTTACCCCCCATCCTACTCCCAGCCAGTTCCCTCCCTCCATCTACTTCAGAGGTCTATTTTATTTCCCCTTCTGAGTAGCATTCAAGCATCTTTCCTTGGGCCCTTATTGTTACTTAGCTTCTTTGGGTCTGTGGATTGTTATCCTGTTCTTTGTGGCTAATATTCACTTATACAAGTGCATACCATACATGTATTTCTGGTATTTCATAACTCATTCAAGATATTTTCTAGTTTCTTCCATTTTCTTGCGACTTGACTTACATAGTCCTTTTGTTTTTCCCCTTTTAAAATTTTTATTTTTGATAATTTATTCATCTTACATCCCAATTGTAGCCCCTCCCCTTATCTCCTGTTGGTCCCACCCTCCCTTCCTCTTCCCCCCATACCCCTTCCCTATTCCTCAGCAAGGGGAAGACTTTCTCTGGTTCTGTGTTACCTCACTCAGAATGGTCTCTTCTAGTTCTACCCATTTTCCTGCAGAATACTTGATTTCCTTGCATTTAATAGCTGAGTAGTATTCCACTGTGTAAATGTGTCACATTTTCTTTATCCATTCTTTGGTTGAGGGACATCTAGGTTGTTCCTAGTTTCTGGCTATTATAAAATAAGCTGCTCTGAATATACGTCCTTGCAGTATGGTGGAAAGTCTTTTTGCTATATGCCTAGGAGTGGTATATCTGGGTCTTGAGGTACAACTATCCATGAATGCTTCTGTAAGGCAAAGGACAACATCAATAAGAGAAAACAACAGCCTACAGAATGAGAAAATATCTTCACCAACCCTACATCTGACACAGGGCTAACATCCAAAATGTATTAAGAGGTTAAGAAATTAAACAACAAAATAACCCAATTAAAAATGGTATGCAAAGCTAAAGAGAGAATTCTCAACTGACTTTAATGGGAGAGAAGTAATTAAAGAAATGTTCAATGTCCTTAGTAATCAGGACACTGCAAGTAAAAACGACTCTGAGATTCTATCTTGCGCCCATCAGAACCACTAGCACCAAAAGCTTAAGTGACAGCACTTGAGGTAAGAATTTGGAGCAAGGAGTACACTCCTCCACTGCTGGTCGGATTGCAAACTTATGCAAGCACTTTAGAAATTAATATGGCATTTTCTCAGATAATTGAAAATTGTTCTATTTTTTCTTTTCTTTTCCTTTTTTTAATTTTGTGGGGGAATCTTACAAAGGCTGAGTTCAGCTACAAAGAGACAGGAAGATGAGCAGAACTGGAGTACACGGTGTGAAATTTTCAATCTATAATTTTTTTTTAAATGTATAAAGAGAGGTCTAACGTGGAGTTCCATCCTTAGAACTTAATTGGCATTAAAAATTGTATACAAAATTAAATTTATAAAATAAAAATTTATCAAATAGATCTGGCTTTTAAAACTGTTTTCAAATGAAACACAATAACATTTAGTTAGAAAACTTCACATGTAACTGAAATATGTAGATGTCATCCACATACCCGATTAAGGTTGTCCTCAAATTCTAACAAACATGACAGCATGACTACAGGGAGATAAAATTGAATTATTTTTTTAGCTAAACTTTGAAAATATCTCAGAAGCCTGGAAAAAAATGTATGCAATAAAAGTTAACTATTCTATGTCACGCTATATAATCACTCTTCTTGTTTTTCTGTTCTGGGAGGAAGAGCGGTGAAATTCCAAGTTGTCCTTCATGCCACAATATGATATGGTTTATGGAATTCTCCTGGCGCTTGGCACAAATGGATTTTGCTGGTGTAACTGTCAGCATAATTCTCCTAATTGTGCCATAGCCCTTACTGACCTGTATAGTTTTTATTTTGTTTCATATTCCAGTAATTCTTATACGCTTCTTTTTTTCTTTCTGATGCGTAATTTTTACTTTTAACACCCTAATTCCAGCCTCATATATCCTGTATTTTTTTTATTTACCCAGTAGTCAGTCAGTAGTCATGAATTCTGTTATTTTATTGCATTTTTCAGTTAGCCAAAAACTCACATTTCATAAGCAAATCTGAAGTCACAGAACTATCAGCATGAATTTTAGATGATGTTCTCCGCGTGCAGATTGGTAGGCTGGTCAATCAATTAATTGTCCAATTAACCTGCCATATTTATCTTGTATTTATTACTTTTGATGTCACTTACTATTTGGAAACATTCCCTGCGTCTTATACATAAAGTAATCAGATATAAACTTCCCAAGGACCCTGGTTGTAGTCAATCTACTGCTTATTAAAGCAAATGTATGAATGTGATATTGAAAATACAAACCATAAAATTAAGTCACTGAACACAGTGGCAAAAACAGTTAAAAGATACATTTTGGAGTGATTCCAATGATAAATCTTCAATTAATAACTGTAAATTT